CTTAAGTTGGTCTGACTGTAATCGCAGTTGTTGTGCTTCAGTACAACAATTTAAAGGCGGTGTACGTTCTTTCAATCGTGCATCGAAGCCTTCGCTTAATCATGCTCAAACGGGTGGAAGAAGCTCACCGGATTTTTGGCATTGATAGTTCGGGAGGAATTTCTTGTCTGCGGTAGCGATACTCCTCGATAAATTTCTCCAAAAAGCCTTTTCCAAACCAAAATGTATTGAGGAAACTGATCTCTTCATCGATCGTATTTAAAGAACAGGTTAAACTGGTTCTATTAAACAGGCACAAAACCACGTTTCCTTTCCTCTGAATTGGTAAGAAACTAAGGAAGTGCATGAACTGTCCGTTTCACGTGGTTTTCCGATAGATGGATCTCTGAATGAAATTATCCTACTAGTCTCCTGATTTTTGACTTTTTCAATTTTTTTTCCGGGAAAACAACACTTCAGGCCTTTTAGTTGTTGATGTTAAGTTCATTTTCCATTAACACATACCACAGATGTATACTGACGTACTTCCTTCCTTTATTTTTAGGAAACTTTGCTGCATGAAAAGTTTGTCACGGATGAGGAATGCCTTGAACCTCTGATCAATGAACTAACTGAATCAGTAATCGGAGAGCTAAAAACAAAAGCAGAGGGTTCGCTCGCCTACCTAGAAGTAAGATCTTTTGACTTTCTACCACTTATTAAAATGGGCTAAAATCACCTGTTTAATCTGTGATTCCTACATACATTTTGCGCAAACGTTTTCTTCCTTCGCAGACAAACAAAGGACAGCTAGGTTCTCTAAGCGGCTGACTGAAAATGCATTATTTGATCGTATTTTTGTTACAACGCAGCATAAACGTTTTCTGTCCAATATCGTTCCCACTTTGTCGATTACTCAACTGCCAATGTTTGGCACAGATATTTAAGAAGCACACCAAGCTTCCTACTAAACTTGCTGGACAGTCGGACGTAGTGTATCGCATACCACGCTTAAACTACCCTCGAAATTACACAGGACAGACTGGACGCATTCTTTGTTCGTGCATACACGAATATAATAAGCTGGCTGTAAGCCGCAAGTGACTGCCCACACCTACGGGACAAGTCACGAAATTAATTTCGCAGCTGCGAAGATAATCGCCCACGCTGGCAGCAAGGCAAGCCAAGAGTTGATTTGAGTCTGGGCCACCTCGGAGGAGAACTCAGTCAATCGATTTTGCGATACATCGGCATGCGCAAACATCTCCGGCCTGACGTCACTTGTGGTCAATTTGGCTCCTGCCCCCTATAACTCTTACTTCAATTCGTGAGATATATTTTTATCCTGAAAGTCCTTGACTGATATTATGCCTGCCTAGACTACTGAGGAGCAGTGCACAGATGAAGGACTCGCTGGACCAACGAGCTGATTTAAGTTGTGTATTTGGGCGGATATGAAAGAATTCAAACGTTGCGTGCGACGATATTTACCATGTACCCCATGTTGTAACGGATACTCAGGCCGAGATATCGCCGCCCAATAACGCCTTGTGTGAGTCCCCAGAGGAAAAACACGACAAGAAGGGTGCAATGGCAGAAGTCTCTGAGTGTTAGAGGTACAACAAATTTAGGGAAACAAACGC